CATCTCCAAGTTCGATAAAGAGACACGAAGGCTAAGATCTTGGAATTGCGGTGAATTAGGTTATACGAGGAGGCAGTGTAGGAAAAGTACTCCTTCCCCAAGTACTCGACGTCAACAGCAGGAAAACTGGATAGGGTCAACATAATGGGGCAAACGTTTACCCACGGACAAAAAGACCCCGAATTTATCGAATTTACGAAAACATTGAAGCACCAGAATGACAGTCTACTTCTAGGTGGAAAAATAAATGACCGAAGATGCGTGTTTCTTTTGGACACTGGGGCCACTGGGAGCATAGTAAAACCCAGCGTAGTTGAGGTTTCTAATCAGGTCGTGTCAACTAAGTGGGTTCTGCGTACGGCTACCGGAGAAAAAACGGTTGTTCATGGCGAAGCTAACGTCTGAATTGAAATCGGTAAGACTGTCTTTGACCATCGAGTGCTTGTGGCAGATATTGAAGATGACGTAATTCTTGGGCTGGACGTTTTACAAAAATACGATTTTGACATGAATTTAAGAAGACGCGTTCTGAGACTGAATGGCGGAGAATTCTATTTCATCAAAGATAGACAGGAGGCTATAACCCGAAAGGTAAATTCTGAAACAGTACCTGTTGAAATAAGTGGAGTGATGGATAGACATTGTAGGAATCTAACCAGTGAGCAGAAATGCAAAGTGCAACATCTACTTTGTCAGAATGCCGACGTATTTGAGCTCATCAACGTAACTAAGAAAGATATTTATCCATTTCGCCAGTATCGCCAAACCTTTGACACGTTTAACCGAAAGTGACCGTAAATTCCATTAGGATTCAGATTTCCAAACGGCATTTGAGACTTTGAAGCAGGCTTTAATCACAGCCCCCGTACTGGTATATCCTTGGCCCAATGGAATGTTCATTTTGGACACCGACGCCAGCATTGTGGGAATGGAAGTCGTTCTTTCGCAGTTACAAGATGGCCAAGAAAAGGTAATCGGCTATTTTAGCAAGACCTTATCAAAAACCGACAGAAACTACTGCGTCACTAGGCAAGAAATGCTGACTGTGGTCAAAGGTGTAGAACATTTTTATAAATACCTGTATGGACGAAAATTCACCCTATGCAACGATCATGCAGCTTTAAAGTGGCTTATGAATTTCAAGAATCCGGAGGGTCAGGTAGCTCGATGTATTGAGAAACTAGAGGAATGTGATTTTTACGTAGAGCACCGGCCTGGAACCGGACACAAGAATGCCGATGCACTTTCCAGAAGATCTTGTCAAGCAGACTGCAAGCAGTGTGATCGAATGTAAAAGAACGAAGAGGCAATCCGACGAGTTACGGTAATCGATGAAGAAGGGTTAGCTGACAATATAAAACTCGACCAAGAAAACGACCCGGACTTAAAGAAGATAATGGAATTGAAAAAAAAACGGAAAAACGGCCAACGTGGCAGCAAGTTTCTTCCTGTACCCAAGTACTAAAATCGTTATGGGCTCAGTTGGACCCAGTGGTTTGGAGGATGGCATCCTGGAGCGTGTTGTTGAAAGCCCAGATGGGGAGGAAGATAGGAAGCAACTGGTTATTCCTCGAAACAAGGTTAGAGAGGTGTTGCAGTGTCTTCATGATATATCATCTGGTTGCCATTTCGGAGTGAATAAGACCCTTTGGAAAGTCCGAGAGCGATTTTATTGGGTGAACTGTAAGGAAGATGTCAAGAATTGGTGTAAGAAGTGTACCACCTGTGCCGCGAGTAATGGACCACAGAAAAGGCCAAGGGCGCCAATGCGTCAATACAATGTCGGTGGCCCCTTCGAACGAATCGCAATCGATGTGGCGGGTCCATTCTCAGAGTCCGAGAAAGGTAACAAGTACATCGTGGTCGTTATGGACTATTTTACCAAGTGGGTTGGACCCTATGCCCTTCCGAACCAGGAATCGGAAACCACAGTTGAGGAACTGGTGAAAGAGTTGTATCAGTCGTTTTGGGTGCCCTTGGAGTTGCACTCAGAGCAAGGGAGGAATTTAGAATCGGATATATTCCGTGGAATATGCGAGCTCCTAAGAATAAAGAAAACTCGAACTACTCCACTCCATCCACAATCGGACGGCATTGTTGAACGAATGAATCGGACTTCAATAAATATCTCTCCACGGTAGTGTCTGACCACCAAAGGGACTGGGACAGCTATTTGCCTTTATTCATAATGGAATACCGTTCATCTGTCCACGAAACGACTAGCCAAACACCTGCCAGTGTCCTTTTTGGAAGAGAGTTACGACTACCTTGTGACCTCAAATTCGGCTGTAAACCAGGAGATGACTTGGCTGGAGAAGATTATGTTACTCACCTCCGAAGAAAACTTAACGATATCCACGAGTCGGTTCGTCTGCATGCGCAGATTGCTAATGACAGGATTAAAGAAAACTACGACATCCAGGCTACAGCAGGTGGTTACCAAACTGGAGATCTTGTTTGGTTGTATAATCCTCGTCGTCGCCGTGGACTATCACCTAAGTTACAACAGAATTAGGAAGAACCCTATGAGATAGTGAAGAGGATTAACGACGTGATCTACCGAATTAAGAAAACTCCAAATGGGAATCCGAAGGTAGTCCATTTTAATCGCTTTGCTCCATTCGCCGGTGAAAATGAAGAGGAGGCACAGGCCAGATTACTAAGAACTATTCCTTCCGAGCCCACATTGGAAGAGTTCATGAAGGAAGGCCCCCCATGTTAACATGAGATTTAGAGTGACACAAGAAATCCGACGAGACGTCTTTCCTATATCTAAGGAATATTCTCTGGTCCATTGCGTTTAAAAGGATCTCAGAGTGAGCCGTGGTATCGCGTCCGAGTTCAAACGCAGATTTGGCGGTTTGAAACATCTTGAAGATCAAGTACAGAAGAGAAGAAGACTGTTGTGCCTGCCGGACGGACGACGCAATATCTATTACCTAGTAACTAAAGGAAGATGCTCTGATAAACCAACTTATAGAGACCTTTGAGACGTAGTAATATAACTCCGCAGACATCTTCTGGAGAATAACCTACAGAAGCTGGCGATGTCGAAGCTTGGTTGTGTACTGGACAACCTAGATTGGAGAATCGTACGGAACATGTTCGATGTCCTGTTCCGCCGGACTGGAATAGACATCAGACCAATCATGAGAAGACCGTGGACTATTACTTCTATTCCCGGAGCGGATATCGTGAAAGCGAGAACTGCAAATTCCCGCATGATCCTACGAAACAGAAAGTGAAAATGTTTCGGAACGAAACATCCTTAAGGAGGTGACAGTGTGGCGAGCGCGGGCTTGTTTGTGTGCGATCGGGCGCACGTGTCCGTAGACGACCTATCGATTCGCCGACTAGCCGCGGGCGCCTTTCTTCATGTGCGCCGTTTCTGTAAACGTGTGTGTCGTACCTGCGTTCCGGGAAAGCAATTAAACATTTCAAAAAAAAACAAAACGTAGTTCAAAAAGTTTTTCTTCATATTTTTCTCTNATTTTATTAAATATAAAAAGTAATATAAAAAAAAATCAACATAAAATCATTCACAGTTGCTACAGATTTGATCACGGTGCGTTTCAAAAAGATCTCTTGTTCTGTCAGTATGTCTGTAGTCTGCTCCAGAGTGTTGATATATTGTAGTTCAAAAAGTTTTTCTTCATATTTTTCCCTTATGTAATGGTACTGGACCTCAATATGTTTTGTTCTCTTGTAGAAAACTGGAGTCCAGTGCACTCTTATTATCTATTAGAAGTGTGGTGTTAAACGAGTTTAGGTTATAAAAATCTTTCACCAGCTTTTGCAACTATACTACTTCTTTTATTGTTTGGCATGCTGCAACATATTCAGCATAAGTAGTGGAATCAGTGAGCGATGCTTGTCTTTGTGTACACCAGCTAATTACACAATTACACCACTTTATAACATATCCAGTAGTTGAGCGTCTGGTCTCAAGTTCACCGGCAAAGTCAGAATCATAATAAGCATCTAAAGATAAATGATTGTTCTTTTGAAATATCAAGCCAAAGTTAGTTGTACCCTTGAGATATTTCAAAATTCTCTTCACGGCATTCCAATGAAGTTTTCTTGGATTTTCCATGTACCTGCTTGCTTTGTTGACTGCAAATGCAATATCAGGTCTAGTACCAGTGGATAGATACAAGAGGCCGTCAATTGCCTCTCTATAAGGTGCATTTGTTGTAGCAGATTGGTCTCCTTTATGTACATCTGGACACATTTCATGGTGAGGATCAGCAGGTATAGTGACCGCATTAGCATCAATATGGATCCGTCAACTCTTCTTTCTATTTGCAGTCCCAGATAAGTATTTGCATCACCATAAGTTATTTTAAATTCTTCTTGAAGTTTCAGCAGAAAATGTTCCAGCAGTCCATTGCTGTTACTTGCAGCCAAGCCATCATCCACATATATTCCAATTATTAGTTTTTTGTTATCTTTCTTCATAAAATATACACAAGTATCTGCCATATTACTTATGGTTTAGGAAAATCTAAACTTTTTCAACTTTTGATTCCAGCACCTGGAGGATTGATGTAAACCATAAATACTTTTCAACAGCTTGCATACTTTATTGGTACCATCAGAAAATCCTTGTGGTTGGTCCATAAATACTTCTTCTTGAATATCTCCATTGAGAAAAGCAACTTTAAAATCAAATTGTTTAAGTATCAAATCTTCCTGAACCGTTGTTGCTAAAATCATTCGGATAGAGGTAAATCTGATAACCGGACTGATGGTTTCTTTGAAATCAACTCCTNTATATATTGTTAGCTGCATTCTATGTATGCTTTCCAAAAACAGCCACCAGACTAGAGCCACTGCCGCGGATCCAGAAAAGAAGCGAGGAGAAACATAATTTATTTATTTATTTATTTGAAGTAAGCAGCTGTTACAAACTGGTATAGTAGTCTACATTTTAGAAAATACAAATTATAGTGAACAAAACTGTGTAGGAGATCATTTGAGAGGGGGGGGGTCCTGGCAGCTCATCTCGTAGATCCAAACAGGTGACGGTGCAAAGACGCCTTGAAGACATCGATGCTCGGGGCCTGGGCTATGCTCGCCGGAAGAGAATTCCATGTGGAGATAACCCTGTTGCCCAGATGGTACTCTAGGTGTTGCGTTTTGAAACGCGACACGTTCAACCTCAGATTGTGACCCCGTTGCGACGTCGACCTGAGGAAGATCCTCTGCAGGTCGGAGGCACGGTACATACCATGGAGGATACGATAGGTCTCCGTGAGGTCAGCAAAAAGGCGCCTGTCTGCCAGGCTTTGCAGCCCAAGCCGTCTCAGGCGCTCCTCGTATGGCAAGGACTTCAGTGTTCTGGGTATCATCAAAGCGCGTCTCAGGATACCCTCCAGAGCCTTGATGTCCTTCTGGAGGTACGTAGCCAAGACAGTGGACCCGTACTCGACCATCGGAAGTACATAGGTGGTCAGTACATTCCGTAGGAGCGGGATGTCCACCTCCACAACGGCTTTGCGGACACGATAGAGGAAGGAGTTAGTTTTCTTTACTACGGCGGTGGTTTGTAGGTCCCATTTAAGATCATCAGACACGATGATGCCTAGATCTACCTGAGAGGTAACAGGAGCCAGCGCCAGGTTTCCAAGATGGTATACCCTGTGTGGGTTTTTCTTCATCCCTAGGTGTAGGACAGTGCACTTCCCCGGGTTGAGCGGGATCATCCAATCGTGGGACCACAGAGCCAGGTTGTCAAGGTCCTGCTGGATGGAGTCACCGTGGGTCAGTGGGTTCCCATAAATCTTCATCCGCGTATGCCTGGTGCTGGGATGTTGTTCGCACGTGCAAGTCGGATGAGTAAAGGTTAAAAAGCAGGGGACCAAGAACAGAGCCCCGGGGAACCCCACTCGGAGCCGACCTAGAGGTGGAGAGACGGTCACCAATCCTTGTCTGGAAGGTCCTGTCACGCATGTAGGCCTCGATCCAGGCAAGAAGTTTGCCCCTGATTTCCAGATGGTGTAGCTTCTGGAGCAGCCGTCGTTGTGGAACCTTGTCAAAAGCCTTCGAGAAATCGAGGTAGACAATGTCCACAGGAATCCCAGAGTCCACCGCTTTGGCCCAATCGTCCAGACAAAGAAGCATGTTGGAGCTGATTGAGCGCCCAGGTACAAAACCGTGTTGTTGGGGGGGAATGATTCCCTTCTGCAACGCAAACTCTAAGATTTCCTTTGCAAGCAGGCGCTCCAGGACTTTACAGGTGGCGCTGGTGAGGCTAATAGGCCTGTAATTACTCGCCAAGTGCCTGCTACCTTTCTTGAAGATCGGAGTGATCGTGGCCCTCCTCCAGTTTTCCGGGATGGTACCTTTGTCCAGAGACTGCCTGAAGAGTGTGTGAAGAAAAGGTGCGAGGGTTTCCGCACAGTTCTTAAGAACGACAGATGGAATGCCGTCTGGGCCACTGCAGGCAGAGCTGTCAAAGGAGCGAAGGACTTCCTCGACGTCTCTGACGGAGAAATCGATGTCGGAAAGATGGTCATCCTGAGGAGGGTAGCCAAGGGAAGGTAGCGGGCCGGAAGGTTCGGTTGTATAAACCTCGGCGAAGGTGTCGGCAAAGAGTTCAGCGATGTCTGAGGGATTAGTGATCTCCAGATCACCCTTCTTCATGGCGTTAGGGACTGGACTATGAGAGGTGGATGCTCGGCTCAAGTATGCATAGAGGAGTTTGCCACCCTTCGCTGCAATCTCGGTCTCATACTGCTTCCTGGCAAGCCTGATGATGTTCGAAAGACTGTTGGAATGTGCCCTGTAGTTCTGGTAAGCAGCTGGGGTTTTGGTCCGTTTATACACCTCCCAGAGACGTTTCTTCTTCGTGATATTTGACAGAATATCGTTTGTGACCCAAGGTTTCAGAGGCCGTTTCCTGCACACCCTCCGAGATGGAGGTGCAGCTTCACGGAGAAGAGAGGTCAGAGACTCAGTGAAGTCATCGTAGGTCTGGATCAGATCTTCCATTGGAGGTGGAAGTCGATCCGGTATCCTGGCTGAGATGGTGGAATAGTCCAGTTTGAAGAAGGGGATCCGGTCCTATAGTGCATGGAGAGGCCTGGTGTTATGGCAGATGTGCTCCAGGTGAGTTATGATGACCTGGTGATCGCTGCCTCCGATGGCAGGGTGGAGCTTGGGAGACGAGAGAAGCTGGGGCTCGTTGGTAAGCACGAAGTCGAGGATGGACGGAGTCTGGACGCCCCTGTGCCGTGTGGGTTCACGGATCAGTTGCTCCAGGTTCGAGTCCAACAGCGCTTCGATAAAAGCTTTATCTACTTCGCGTGGACTCTGTGGTAGGCCATGTTCCCAGGTGGTGTCAGGAAAGTTGAAATCCCCGAAGATGAAGGTAGGGGTCTTGGTTCCTCCGACCCGTCGAAGCACTTCAAACAGGAGAGTGTCGGTTGGTGTGACACTGTATGTCTTCGTGGGAGGCCTGTAGATGCCTGCCACCACGAAGGTTAAGTCCCGGATGGTGATCTTGAGCCAAAGTGCCTCCAGCCGTGGTTCCTGTAAGTGCACCAGAGGTGTTGCAGAAATGTTGGCACCGTCCAGGTTGTTCAGAACGTAGAACATGACACCGCCACCCTTCTTGACGCTGCCATTGGAATTAACCTCTCTGCGATCTACCCTGGGATGTTCACCAGAGTATCAGGGATGTCGTCTCGAAGCCAGGTCTCGGTGATGACAACGATAGTAGGTTTCTTTTGAGTGACTTCTATCTCCAGTTGGTCGAATTTTGTCATCAAGGTAGCGATGTTTGTGTAGAGGAAGGAGATGTTTATTGTCGCTGCTGCCGTCTGCCGTTTCCCTGGTGAACGGGGAGGATTCTAGGTACGCCACGTACATAGCGTATCGTCAAGTGATGTCCAGCAGCCTGCCTAGTAGCGAGTTCTCTCCTCAAAGTCTCCAACTCCAGTTGTTGTGCCGGCGTCCGATCGTTCAACACCTTGACTGTGGGCGATGGTTGTCTACGTCCACGGCAAAGGATCTTGGAGGCCAACTCTGGGGACGATAAGGTCACCTTCACTGCCCGGTTGCGGTTCTCAGTCTTGTCATCAAGACGAGAAACATGGCGAAGATCGTCCGTTTCCACAGTAGGGCAAATGTTGGTCAGAGACTGAAACACGTCATTTCTGTCGATCTCAGCTCGCCGTTTCGGAGTTGGGGCGGTTCGTTCTATGAGGCCGGTGAGGATGATGTTCTTCCTTCTTCTCCTTCTGTCCTCCAGTTCAGCAGCTACTCGAGAGAGCTGGGTGGCATGAGCCTCTTGGAGGCTAGAGACTGTGATGCGCAGGGCCGCATTTTCCTTCTGGATATCCTGACACCTGTCCGAAAGGGCAGCGTAGGATATCTTCATTTCCGAGAGTTCAGATTTCAATATCTTGAGCTCTCGGAAAATTTTTGCTTCAAAAGCCTTGATGTTCCGGGCGGTCACTGCGGGCACAGAAGAACAGGAGGGCAGAATGGAGGAAACACTCAAATCCGCATCCTGGAGGTCGTCGAGATATCACCTTCTTCGATGGTGCAGCGTTCTTCCATGTTGCGGCCGGGTTTGAATTTCCCGCGCCTCAGTGCGCGTGCACGCGCTCAGTATGCCGAAGCAAGGTGTTGTGAGCGAGGCTTGAGCACGCACACTAACACAGAGCTCTCACACAGTCGTTACAGCATCCAATCAGGTGAAAACGATCAGTCCCATGGACCACATGTATCACAGCTCACCTCTCCAAGCATCAGCTATGCCAAACAACGCTTCAGAAGTCCGCCAATCGTGGGGGATGAAATGTCACAAAAAGTGAGGTTAGGCCGTGATGTCCGAGTAAGATGATAGTTTTAGCCGGGTCGAGATGATGTGCGACCGGTTAATTCACGTCTCCTGGGTACCTTAGATAATTAGCTGCAGGTTAATCCCTCTCGATGGTCTGTGTGTCTCCAGTGTTTTAAGATAATTTGAAAAGCCGGGTGGAGCGAGCTGAGCAGCATGTATCTGATTCGGAAATTAATTAACCGTTGCTATCCGTCTGAAGAGTGGCGTTATTGAATTTTTTTCTGAAAGTGTTCTGTTAAAAGTTGTACTGTGTAAATAGTGTAGTTACATCTGTTAAAAAGCTAATAAAAACTATAATAAATAACTTTTCGATAATAATATGCATTAGTGTAGTTATTGTATAGTTATTAGGTAGATTTATGGCATATGGTTTCATTAATGTCGTTGCATGATTGTTTGGTTAAGTAGATTTATGACAGACTGGAGTTTCATAAATGCCCCTGCCCGCCGGAGGCGGGCTGATAGTTACAATATATGAAATAGACGTCATCAATGAATATAGGGACATCTCCAAACAGCTTGGCATTACCTATTTCACATATTGCATCTATCAGCACGCCTCCGGCGGGCAGGAGCTTCATTGGAACTCCAGTCTATCATAAATCTACTTAATAATCATACAATAACGTCACTAGCTCCTGTCTGTAATAATTCTATCAGCGTTGCCAGGTTCAGTAAATAGAATTATCGCACTCTTTAGGAAAAATTATCGTATTAACATCAAAAATATCGTATGTTATTGCGCATGCGCATCGGAGTAATAGTCTAGTGGTGGGAGCAGGACTGGACTTTAAACATTTTGGAAGAAAGTTCTTTTTTTAGAGTCCATAAACAATTAAATTTTATTNTCACCGGCAAAGTCAGAATCACAATAAGCATCTAAAGATAAATGATTGTTCTTTTGAAATATCAAGCCAAAGTTAGTTGTACCCTTGAGATATTTCAAAATTCTCTTCACGGCATTCCAATGAAGTTTTCTTGGATTTTCCATGTACCTGCTTGCTTTGTTGACTGCAAATGCAATATCAGGTCTAGTACCAGTGGATAGATACAAGAGGCCGTCAATTGCCTCTCTATAAGGTGCATTTGTTGTAGCAGATTGGTCTCCTTTATGTACATCTGGACACATTTCATGGTGAGGATCAGCAGGTATAGTGACCGCATTAGCATCAATATGGATCCGTCAACTCTTCTTTCTATTTGCAGTCCCAGATAAGTATTTGCATCACCATAAGTTATTTTAAATTCTTCTTGAAGTTTCAGTAGAAAATGTTCCAGCAGTCCATTGCTGTTACTTGCAGCCAAGCCATCATCCACATATATTCCAATTATTAGTTTTTTGTTATCTTTCTTCATAAAATATACACAAGTATCTGCCATATTACTTATGGTTTAGGAAAATCTAAACTTTTTCAACTTTTGATTCCAGCACCTGGAGGATTGATGTAAACCATAAATACTTTTCAACAGCTTGCATACTTTATTGGTACCATCAGAAAATCCTTGTGGTTGGTCCATAAATACTTCTTCTTGAATATCTCCATTGAGAAAAGCAACTTTAAAATCAAATTGTTTAAGTATCAAATCTTCCTGAACCGTTGTTGCTAAAATCATTCGGATAGAGGTAAATCTGATAACCGGACTGATGGTTTCTTTGAAATCAACTCCTTCGACTTGAGTAAAACCCTTAGCAACCAGCCTTGCTCTGTATCTAGGTGAGTTTCCATTGACATCAGTTTTAACTTTGAAAACCCATTTATTGCCCACAATAGTGGAGCCTTTAGGCGGTGAAACTAATTCCCATACTTTATTCTGTTTCAGAGACCTCAGTTCATCCCGCATAGCATTTAACCACTCTTGTGCATCTTCACCTTGTATGGCTTGTTGATAAGTTAAAGGTTCTCCTCCGTTAGCCATAAATAGATTTTCAACATCGTAATCATTTAAATAATTTGGTTGTTTCAGGGTGGTTCTATCTCTTAATTGTCTATGGTTTACATTTTTAATAGGTTCTTCGAAGACAGGTGAATCATTAATATTGGCTCCCAGTGGAGCATCTTCTGCAGGCAAATTTTCTTCTTTATTTTGATTATTTTGTTGAATTCCTAACTTTTTATTGTCAGTGACTTCTCCAGGGTTTTCAAATTCATCATCTTCAAGTAAGCATAAAGCGCCTTCGTCATGATAAATCTTGTTTTCAGTATCTTGTCTTTTACCAGTAAAAGTAACATTTCTTTAAATAATTACTTTGCTCTTTTCAGAATTCCATATACGATAACCTTTGATATATACCCCAAAAATATACCAACATTGCCTTTTATTTCAAGTTTTGAACAGATGCTAAATGAAAAATGACTTTTTCACCAAATATGTGCAATTCTTTCAAGTTTGGCCTCTTGTTAAACCAGATTTCAAAAGGCGTCTGGCCAGAAATACTACTAGTCCCTACACAATTTAAAGTATAGACAGCATTGTTCACTCCTTCTGCCCAGAATCTGTGTTTCATGTCTGCAGCATACAACATTGTGCGGGTGGCTTCCACTATAGTGCGGTTCTCTCGCTCTATTTTTCCATTTTGTTCTGGACAATATATCACAGTTCTACGATGAGTAACTCCAAATTTTTCCAACAACTGTGTAACTTCTTGATTGACAAACTCAAGACCATTGTCAGTCCTAAAAATTTGTGGAATTTCCAGAAATTACTATCGAATCAGACTTTTACGTTATCACCAATATGAAAGACCCACAATTGTTAGTCGGCACCGACATCCTGGACAAAGAATTTATTTCATTACATCGTAAACCATTTGGTGAGATGAAGCTTACAAAACCCAATACACCAGTTTTGGCCCTACACCTCTGCACAACAAATATTTCTAATTTAGAACAATTTTTCCCTGAAAAATGTCCAGAACAACTGAAACAATTATTTTACCGCTAAGTTAAAAATTCGGCTAACCTCAGACATCTCCATTAGGTACAGACCTTATCGCCTATCCTATTTTGAGAAACAGAAGGTTCGCGAAATCACAGACGATCTCTTAGAAAAAGGAATCATTCGACTTTCTTGTTCACCTTATGCGAGCCCTATTTTACTTGTCACAAAAAAGGATTGGACATATCGAATGTGCGTTGATTACCGTCCATTAAACCGCATAACTATAAAGGACCGTTATCCTTTGCCTAGAATTGAAGACCAAATCGACAGGTTACAGGGCCATACGTTCTTTACTTCCCTTTACATGGCGAGCGGGTTCCATCAAATCCCTATTGAAGACGATTCAATAGAGAAAACAGCATTTGTTACGCTTGACTCTCAATTTGAATATTTAAAAATGCCTTTCGGTCTAGCAAACGCACCATCTGTGTACCAAAGAGCAATAAATCAAGCGCTTCATCCGCTCCTTACCTCTGGAAAAATACTCGTGTACCTTGACGATGTTCTCATCCCTTCTTCAACAACAGAAGAAAATTTGAAACTTTTACACCAAACCCTTCAGCTTCTCCAACAAAATGGGTTTCAAGTCAATTTAACGAAATGCAAATTTTTACAGACCGAGATTGAATATCTTGGAAGCCTGATTTCTACCAAAGGTGTCCAACCAAGCCCTTATAAAGTAAAGGCATTATTAAACACAACAGCGCCTTCAAACGTTAAAGAAGTTCGCCAACTATTGGGGCTAACCAGCTATTTCCGCAGATTCATTAAAAACTATTCGAGAAAAGTTAAACTTATTAAAAAAAGAAACCCCTTTTGAGTGGACACCTGATAGAGAAGAAATTCGTTTAGAACTCATTGCTTTGCTCTCAACGTATCCTGTTTTGGTGCTATTTGATCCAAACTTATTAACAGAATTACATACGGACGCAAGTTCGATAGGTTATGGCGCAGTACTATTACAAAAAAGGGGTCAAAATTGTCTCATGCTGACTTTTTCAGTAAAAATCCTCCGAGAATTGCCTTTGTTTTTGATCAAAAGAATTCATGGCTTGCCACCGCGCAACGTGCTGACGATCAAACAAAAGACCTGATCGAACGCGTAAAAAGGGGTGAGCTAGATAACAAATTGTATGAAATAAAAGGTGAATATCTTTATAGAGTAGTTCATAATTCGGATGGTTCCACAGTAAAAAGACTCTTTGTTCCGTCATCTTACCGGTTGCCACTGTTACAGTTATTTCACGACGAAAACTGTCACGTCGGTGCTGAGAAAACATTTGAATCAGTCTCCAGAAGTTTTTGGTTTCCCGGTTTAAGAAATTTTGTTTTTAGGTATTGTAAAAGATGTTTAACTTGCTTGTTAAACAAACAGCCTCGACTCTCAAGTAGAGTACCTCTGCACTCAATACCTAAGGGTGAAGCTCCTTTTGGGACCCTACACTGTGATTTTTTTGGTCCCCTAAAGCCCTCTAACAATTTTCGGTACGTTTTCGTTATTATTGACGCCTTCTCAAAGTACTGCCTTCTAATACCAAACGTCGAGATAACTTCGTTAACATTTAAAGAAAACTTGTTAAAAACCATTTCCTTGTTTGGAACCCCAATAAGATTAATAAGCGACAATGGGTCATTTATCAATAAATCCAATAAAAAATTTTTAGAAGAATGGAGAATAAATCTTCATCTGACAATATCTCACGCACACCGATCCAATGGACAAGTAGAACGGTACATGTCAACAATAGCTGACATGTTAAGAATAGAGTGCAGA